GGAAGAGGTGGCTTGTCCTACAATTGTTCTCCTGGGTCTCTCATACTTCCTCAATATCCCTCCCTCTCTCTTTTTATTTTTCAAGAGCTCAATAATCAGTTTAGACTACGGCAACTCCTTTAGCAGGGGGAAGAAACCATAGGGTACTAACTGTTCAGAATAGCTAAGTGTTAGGTCTCATGTTGCTAAATTTGGCCTGTCACAGGCTTTTCTAGACTTTCTCGGTTCCTGCCCTCCCCCTCACTCCCCTTATTTTTAACTTCTGGTTCAAGGCCAAAATTATTTCTTTCAGCTCTCCAAGTCCTTGCCACTCAAAACGTGGTCTGCTGCATTAGCATCAGCTGGAGCTTTTTAGAAATGCAGAATGACGGGCTCACCACTGGAGCAGAATCTGCATTTTAAACAAGATCTCCAGGTGATTTGGATGCACATGAAAATGTAGGAATTCCTGCTTGCTTGAAGTCACTGATAAACTGGAAATCTATTCTTTCTGGCTTCACCCACGTATATCTAATATATCTAACAATAATGATGATAATTACAGTAATAACAGCTGGCATCTATTAACCAGTTACTACATGTCAGGCACCATTTTAAGTGTTTTGCATATTTATTTGAGCCCCAGTAGTCTTATGATAGAGGTAGTATTTTACAGAGGAAGTAGCTGTGGCACAGAGAGGTTAATTAACTTGACAGTTATAGTGTAAGTCAGAGAGCAGGGATGCGGAACCCAGTGAAATCCCTCTATTGCCCTGCTTTGCTTGTTTCTGAGAGGCAGAGTGATTGCGTGGCAAGAAGATGGGTTTTCAAGTCTCAAAGACCAGGATAAATCCTACTTTAGCCTCATACAAGCTATGAGACAGGGGAAAGGTCTTTTATCCTGTCTGGGCCTCACTTCCTCACATTGGGTGCACAGTTTGCACTCAGTAATAACTTGTAGTACTACCATGCCTTCGGTTCTTTCTTTGTGCACGGTCCCGGTCATCCTCAACTGTCCTTGTTCTAAAGGCTGTCCCTGCTTTTAGCTCCACCCTCAAACTTCTCTTCACATCCTCCTGCTTTAAATTTCTCCTTTTTATAAACTTCACATATCTTGGTAATCCTCCCACATTATCATTATTCCATGGGCTTCCCATTTCTCTTAAATGGTGTATCCTGGAGTCATTTAATTTGATGTTCCTTTTCCAGTCTGTTTTTGCCTTTAAGACAAATCATCAGCATGGCTATATACTTATTGCAGTTTCCTATTTGGAGGTGATTTTTGTTTCTAGAATACACAAATTCTACGTGAAGCAAATACACTGGAGATTGAATATAATCACAACAGGAAAAAGGAGCCTAGAAACAGAGCCTTAAATATTTAGACTTGTGTGACTGGTTTTTGACTTTCTGGAAGCAGAGCTTCTGTCATGCAGCACAATATACTCTCCAGTTCCATAAGCTGTGGTGAAGATGGGGCAAGTAAGTGGGCTGTCAAAATCGAACTGATCAGAAAAATATATTGCTTGGACTTTTTTACATTTGCTGGTAAGATTGGGAGTGTGCTTGAAGTTAACAGAGGTCAGAGATTAAGAAAACTTAAAAGCCCACCTCCCTATTCCAAACCAAATCCAATATACAGGAGGAGTAAAGTTCTTACACATGATTCTGATAGAATATTAGTTTTATAAAGGTAAATAGGATGTTGTCCTCCAGGTGATTTTGTAGCATATCTTAGAACAGCCCTTACATTTGGAAGGACTGAGGCTATTTCTGGTTTCCCGATTTGTATGTTTAATGCCAGCAAAATAGTAGTGCCATAAGAGACAGACATTAAATTCTAGATGGGGACAAGTAAAACTCTTATAGTTTAATGATCCTTTTTCTCCCCCCTCCCAGCTCTGGGCTGAGAGACCACGACGTCATTGTCAGCATAAATGGGCAACCTGTTATCACCACAAGTGACGTTATTGAAGCTGTTAAGGACCATGATTCCTTTTCCATCATGGTTCGTCGGGGAAGTCAAACTCTGATTCTGACGGTCACACCTGAAGTAATCAATTAAGTATCTTGCTTTAAAGAGAAATTATCTAACAAAACCAAAGCTTACATTACCTGGTTTACATTGAAGATGTGCCAAAGATGGCAAGGGGTTTTAGGATCGCTTCCTTATAAAGAAAAATGAATGCGGGCCTGGCCCCGTGGCCGAGTGGCTAAGTTCGCGCGCTCCGCTGCAAGCGGCCCAGTGTTTCGTTGGTTCGAATCCTGGGCGCGGACATGGCACTGCTTGTCAAACCACGCTGAGGCAGCATCCCACATGCCACAACTAGAAGGACCCACAACGAAGAATATACAACTATGTACCAGGGGGCTTTGGGGAGAAAAAGGAAAAACAATAAAATCTTAAAAAAAAAAAAGACACCTGTTTAAAAAAAAATAAAGAAAAATGAATGCTTTAATAACACACACACACATGTTCAGAGACCATTAGGCTGGGCATGCTCTGCTGCTGCTAAGAAGCCTTACTAAAGCAAGTGGAAGAAGGACATGGTGCCAGGAAGTCTGGGCAGCTGATAAAATTTTATTTAAAGATACGAAACAACTGAAAAACAGGCACAGTTCCTAATTTAACCTTGACAGAAGGACAATTCAGTATTTTGAAACTTCTCTATAGCCACAAACTGGATATAACACAAATGTACACGCCCACACAATAGACCTACCTACCAAATATTAAGAAACAACCTGAATCCAGAGTGGAAAGGAAATCAAATTTTTATTCATATTCTTTTACTCCATCAGCTTTTCAGGTTGTATCACATTTGGCCAGGGTTTGTGGATACGGAGGATGGGCATCATTTGGAAGCCAAAATGAAACTGACAATGTCGGATTGTCACAGATGAATATTGAAGGCTCTCAAGTCATCACTCTAGCAGTGGACACAACTTTGGTCTCGCACAGCTTTTCACTGTGAGAACGGCTGCTTCTATAAAACAGATACTTCAATAACTTAGACTTTTGGCTTTTTACCCAAGCTCTTTCTCCTGGAAACATTAATGATTTTGAGTCTGAAGGCTGCCAAAGTAGTAGCTGCTGTTATTGTTGTTTTTAAGAAAATAGCTTTTATTGGGGTTTGTCAATATCCTGTAGATTTAAAAAAAAAAGTGTGAGATGAGGCAGGATTTGTGACTTAAGGTAGTATGTTATTTGTGGTAAGATTTTTAGTTTTTGTTTTCCAGATTTCTCTTAGAAGTGAGTTTTTTAAAAAAATGTTATCCTTGAACTCCCTTAAATTTTATGCAAAATTTTATGTGTATGTGCATTTTTCTGGGGAGAGGGTCCAGTTTCTTCATGACCCACAATAATTTAAAAAATACTGCCTTAGGGGCTGGTCCCGTGGCTGAGTGGTTAAGTTCCCGCTCCGCTTTGGTGGCCCAGGGTTTCACTGGTTGGGATCCTGGGCTCTGACCTAACACCACTCATCAAGCCATGCTGAGATGACGTCCCACATAGCAGAACTTGAAGGACCTACAACTAGAATATACAACTATGCACTGAGGGGCTTTGGAGAGAAGAAAAAAAGAAACGGAGAGATTGGCAATAGATGTTAGCTTAGGGCCAATCTTTAAAAAAATAAATAAAAAATATTGCCTTAGAGTATAGAGATTATGAATAAGAATCTACCAATTATTACTGTTATAAAGAAGGTGAAGGTCAATGTAGTACAGAACTTTCCAGACAGAGCAGAATAATCTGTTTTAATTTTTACAGAATTGTCACCATTTAATATAAGAACGGAGGCCAGCTCTGTGGCTGAGTGGTTAAGTTCTTGTGTTCCGCTTCGGCAGCCCAGGGTTTCGCCGGTTCAGATCCTGGGTGCGGACGTGGCACCGCTCATCAGCCCATGCTGAGGTGGCGTCCCACATAGCACAACTAGAGGCACTCACAACTGGAATATACAACCATGGACTGGGGGACTTTGGGGAGAAGAAGAGAAAAAAAAAAAGGAAGATTGGCAACAATTGTTAGCTCAGGTGCCAATCTTTAAAAAAAAAAAATAATGTAAGACCAGTGATGACATTACTTTGGGATAATAAAGCTGAAACTTTCAGGAAAGCTGCTTCATAATGACAGAGCATATCCAGAGTTATTTTAACTGTGACTCTTGGTCTTTAAGTTAATTACTGTGAGACCAAACTTTGAGCAGTTCTACCTTGAGGGTTTCTAGAATTTATGTTACCCCAAATAGCAGCCTTCGTTTGACTTATCCACAAAGTCCTGTTTCTACTTTATATTTACTTTATATTAAGTTCTCTTCAACTTAGATTGCAAACGATGGGAACAAAGTTTCTAAAACCACTAATAATTTCAAACATTTGCTTTTATTCCCAGTGATTTGGGAATGTGAAAGCTTGATCGCGCCTCTTCCCCATGGCTGACTGCTGTGGTCCACACTGAGAGCTTTTGGTACCACGCTTATTTTGACAGAATATGTTCTGTTTCTCTTTGCCCCATAAATCACATCCTAACTGCACCCAGCATTCAGTAATAATATCCTTTAAGTAAAACTCTTTTTCTTTCCAAGGGCCTGAGGCTCCTCACCTTATCTTACCTAATCGTGAAGAATAGTTTTAGAGTTACTTATATGAGATCTTCCTTACCAGCCTACAACGTGGGCTCTCTAAACTGGTAAATACTAAAATTTTTAGATAGGAAAATTCTGTCAAGAGGATAGCTTAGGGACCAGCCTGGTGGCATAGGGGTTAAGTTCACGTGCTTCGCTTCTGCAGCCTGGGGTTCACAGGTTCGGGTCCTGGGCGCGGACCTAGCACTGCTTGTCAAGCCACACTCTGTTAGCATCCCACATAAAATAGAGGAAGATTGGCACAGATGTTAGCTCAGCGACAATCTTCCTCACACACACAAAAAAAGAGGATAGTTTATGTCTGATACTGTTGGCTTTCAAAACATAATTAAATGAAGAAATTATTGTACTGTACATATTGCCTCTCAAGCATCATAATGATGAAACAATAGGGTTTATTAATACAGTGGTTCATTTCAAATGCCTAGCTTTTAGCAAAACAAATATAATTTTGAGTTTCATGCTACCTATTGAAAATACTCAAACAGCATTCCAGGTTGGCAAAATTTATTCTGCAATTTAAATCAGAAAGTCAGAATTTCAGTGTGTATTAAAATCCATGGCCATTTCTACTTTTGCTGAAGATTTTCGTTGGTTCAGCTTCAGATCTTCTCTGCAGGAAGACTCAGGATCACGAAAGGCAAAGGCTGAAAGTATTCACTTTGCTCCTCCTGTTGGGTCCGCTCGTTCCAAAGGATTCAAGAAAAAGCAATGTACAGAAATAAAGAGTATGGAAACCCTTCCGCAGCTCATAAGTTAGTCACTCTCCTTTGTATTTTGTACACAAGGAAGGGTACAAACTTGATTCCCACAATACTGTTTGCTTGTCATTTCTAGTCTGCAAGGTAAAATTTGGGTTGAAAATCACAGTCCAAAGAAACTTTCCTAACCAAACCCATTCTGTCCAAAGAGGGAAAGTAATGGTCAGGTCTGATATCCAGGAAGAGTTTTGAGCCTGTAGAGATGGATTCAGAAGATGTGCCTCTCTGGGCCATAACAGCAGCTCTTTTTAGTAAACAGTGCACCAATTGCTGCCATCACTTGGCATCAGCCCTCCGGTAATAAGCAAAATAAGGTCAACAAACCACCAAATCCCAAGACCTCCAAGTGTCAAGAGCTTCCCTACTGCTGTGCCCGTGTGTCCCAGACAGAAGCGATCCACTCCAAAACAGCCCAGGAAGAAAGAGTAGAGTAACGTGGTTATGAAGTAGTGTCCGGTATACCTAGACAGAAGAAATTAGATGGAAGATGTTTACCATATGAAAATTAACACACGGAGTGATTAATGAATTCAACAGAAGTGAAAAGATGATGCAAGAGTCCCTCTGTGGGCTCTTACTCCCTTAGCTCCCATGAAAACAAAGTCTCCAGTTGGTCTAGAGTCTCAAGAGAGTACTTGCTAAGCTATGGAGGACCTATAAGACGAATATTGAGTTGGACTGGACAAGAAATTATGCACGTCTGCACACAGGCATCCTAGGAGTAGAGTCTGGGACCCCACTCCCCCCCACAGGCTCCTTTCCTGTAGTTCTGGATGTAGTTCTCTAAGGAAGTGTTGTCTTTCCTTAAATGAACACTGGTCTCCATATACTGGTCTTGCTCTTTTGTGGCAACTAAAAATGGGACTTCTTCATAAGGACTTCTGCCTTACAGACTATGACGGCACTGAATTGCAGCTGCTCTAATGTCATCACTAAACACAGTCACAGACTCTCCATTAGCAAAAGGTACAAGTAAGTTCTGTGCCTTCAAGCAGAATTGACAGAAATAATCCTAATTCTTTAACTGTAAAATAAACTGATTTCCAGGGAGAGAGGCCCACGCTTTTAATAATAAAATCTTTATTCCTGAAATACTAAGGCCAACTTCACTGGATTTATGTCCATCACAGGAATTTTGGAGCTAGACCATCTGGTCCTTCATTTCGCAGACGAGGGGACAGAGATTCTGGGTGTCCAAAGGTACTTAGGTAGTTGGTGAAAGAGACATTTAGAACGTACGGCCTCTGGTCTCAAGCCCAGTCTCTATTATAATCACATTGCCCCGTCCATGGATTATGCGCAGTAGTAATCCTGTTGCCCCTTTAACATTTAAGGTAAAAGAAAAAGCCACATCAAGAGATGACAAGGAAAATAGCTCTACCTTCGTCCAAGCATCAGCTACCCCATTCTTAGTAGCACTTACTTTATACAAGGTTTATTCTCTCGTAGGAAGGTCCTGGGACTGGCACACTCAATTCCGTCTAGGGCCCGACACTGGACTGCAGTGTGTTCCACATCATTGTAGGCCTGACCACCGAACTGTGACGGCAGCGAAACCAAAACATACGAAACTAACAAACTCACCAAAGCAAGTAACACAAAATATATCTTTATCTTAATTTAAAAAAGCTGACTCAGGACGATAAATATTCTAACAAAATTGGGGTAAAGCTGTGCTAAAGAGCAAGGAGTTTAGTAACATGTTTCAAGTGATTTTAAATTAGTCCATCCTAAATGTACATTGTTTTAAAGAAACTCCTCATTTTTCTTCTTCTTTATGACTGGCTTCTTTAATAATATAGCAAAAAAATTTACAATCAGTTTCATTAAATGCCATTTAGAATAGATGGACACCATGCTTTAGTTATCCTACATTTACAGGAAAAAGAGCACATTACTGAGCATGTGGGAATGGGTATTTAAAAAGTCAATGTGTATTAGAGGGCTGTTTTATGTAAATTATAAATGAACATAATTAGGAAAGAACTCAGAATATCAGCTGACTCAGGACTTTATTTAGGTCATGAATGTGTGATTATCAGATATCTGTAGTACATCTATAGTATAAGCTTAAATTCCAGCAAAAATTTCAGAACAGGCCCTCTGACCCTTAGTGTAACTGAATTCTAGCAGAGAAAGCACAGCTGTTCATTCTCTCCTGGCACCTTATTAAGTGCTTCACTGCTATTTCTGTTGGAGCATTCCTCAAAGGGAAGGGAGTGGGAAATAAGGATGCTTACTCCTCCTACCTCCTCCAGCACTCAGGTGCCTGGGTACTGCCAGTCCTCTAGGACTTCTGGGGGAAGTGACAGTTTGAGTGCCTGGACAGGATCAACCCAGTTTTTAGTTAAAATAAGTAAAAGTAAGTGATCTCTATACAATGCTAACCCAAAGTTTTATCGATAATTACCAATAGAACAAAATCTCATTGTATTGCAAATATTTCTTCACATGTGATTGCAGTAAGAGTTGCTTTTTTGGTCTTATTACTTTCAGGTTTATTCTGATTTAGTACAAAGTAAATTTTCCCATAATTCTCTTACACCTGACTGTGTCTTGACTTGCATTATGCAGCATAATACAAGATAATGGTGAGTCCACAGTGGGGAGGAAGTACATGAACTTCACTGGTTTGGGGGAGACTGACAAGGAAGTGTGCACTCAGCTTTAGGGATACTATTAGTGGAACTCAATGGCTTCCTTCCATTCCAAGAGGCCACTGTTACCAAAGGCTTCTCCTTGAATGTCATAACCTCCTACAAAGGCACATACTGATAGACCCTATCTATTTCCCAAGGATGTGGCAGAAACTGAATGCCTGATGAAAAGAAAGGTCATTGGCAAGAGGAGCTTTGCCCCAAATGCATGTGTAACAAAGACACTGCTCAATCCATCATCAGATTTAGAAAGTGCACAAGCCTTTCTTTTGCTTTTTCAGGAAAGTGCATGCCTTGAAGGACGGTCGGGGTGACATTTCGGCTTCAAATCTGTCAATCTTAATGGTCAAAGGAACCAAAGAGAGGTTGGTCTTTGCACTTGGGTAGTTTTGGCATAGAGATGGCTTCTTCCTGAGGAAACTAAATGTCTTGTTCAGCCACTGACCCTGGCCGTGCTAGAAATTTCCATCAACAGTCATTCTAATGAAGCCCTTAGACTTTTCTCTTACAATATTCAGCCAGTACTATTTCTCTACGGAAGAGTCTGCTTATAAAACAGAACAAAAACTCACCTTGAGACAACCATAACCAAGTTCCTGGGATGCAGTTGCATTTCCAACATGATCCACTGGGTCTTCACATTCTATAAATTCATCAGGTCTGTAAATCACCAGTAAGATCCTGATCATCACCATCATATTATCTCTGCACATGGCTATTCACAGATGTATTACCAAAACAGGCAAGAGACATTTCTTCAAATTTTCTGGGGTTTAATTTCATTCTGACTCTTGCCCAAGACAAGAGATGGTGTCAATCAGACTGAGGCACATCAGGTCAAATAGATGGCCATCCAAATGACCTTTTTATTGGGGCAGGGGAGTGTTTCTGGTCCTATTTCTGCACGGATTCTGCTTCTCCCACGGCTTCATCTCTCCCCTAGGCAAAGAGCCACAAGGCCATGGGGGCAAAATTGAAGCCAAAGGATTCCCAGTTCTCTTTGCATTTCCCAAACACCTTTTCGCATTTGACTAAAAGAGATGTTAAGGTTCTGCAACGACAAGGAGAGATATATATATATATATATTTTAGGAAATGCCTTGTAGGCAGGGAAGGTATTTACTCCATTTGTGCCTCACTCAGTACCAGCACCTACGATGGCTTCTCTTTCCGTTAAAGGGAGCAGGACAGAGAAGGCATAACCTGGGACCCTTCTTCCGGAGGCTACATGATGTCACTCCTCCCTAGTTCTCCTCTTTCGGGATCCCAAAGGATCTGCCACCGACACACAAGGTTTTCCTCTGCATGGGGAGAGGAGGCAGAAACCTGTCATGATATTTACCTCCCTCGCGTTGACTAGCAGGTCCTCAGGTGAAGAAGGTCTGGAAAGAAAAAAAGCTGCCTCCCTCCTCTCCTCCCGCCGCACAACACCCATATATCCCTGGCCTCATCTCCATCTCCACCCGCGTCGACGACTGGTAGCTTACAGGTAAGAGCAAAGGATGACCGGAGAGCGGGGGTCGCCATATTCCCAGCTCGGGGCGCCGGCGGAGCCCTCCGGGTGGGCGGCGCCAGCGGATGTGAGCTCGGGCTCGGCGGTAGCGTTGTGCGAGTGGCTTCGAGAGACACAATGCAGCAGAAGTAGATTCCCCAGCAGCAAAGCCGCCTGGCCGCACAGAAGTAAGTAACTCACCGGGCAACCACCCAGCACCATCTTCCCGGGCCCAGCGGCTGAGACCCGGCCTCAAGCACAAACCCCCGCCGGCACCACCGACCCAACACAGGCCTGGTGAGGCCTCTCCGCGTAGCCCCGCCCCCGCCCCAAACAGCCAATGGGCGCGCAGATCGACGCTCCGCCCAACCCCGTCAACCAATCAGAAAAGGCTGCGCAGGGGGCGGGGCTGCACTTCGCTTCTGCTTCTCAATTCCTCTTCTGTGTCTCACGCTCCTCCTTTTGCTCCGAGTGCTTCCTCCTGTCGGTTCCTTCCACCCCCCAGGTAGGCGGGCTTGGAAGTAGAGGGTGGGGCGGATGGTGAATGGGCGGGGCTGACTAATACGCGGTGTTAGCGGCCAGATAGCAACCCATTCTCCGGCCGGGGACTGCATTTTTCCTGACGTCAGCGCAGCGAGCCCAATGTCAGGCGCGAGCTCGGACTGGAGCCGAGTTGCGTCAGTGCCGAGCGCGTGTTCGCCCGCGGGCGCGCGCACCCGGCCAGCGCTGGGGCCCCGGCAGGGTTGGGAAATGATGGAGCCGGCGGAGGCACAGGCGACCGATTGCTGAGTGGAACCTGCGGAATCGGCCGAGATGGGGTCGGGCGCGGGCTCGCCCTTCGGGACCCTCCGCTTCCAGTGGCTGCTGTTGTTTGGCTTGGTGGGCCCAGTCCTCGGTGGGGCTCGGCCAGGTGGGTGTCCGCCCCCAGGGACCTTTGGGATTTCTGTTTCCTACTGCTGGGACGCTCGGAGTTACCCTGGGGTGCCTGGTAGTGGAGGGGCCTGGCCAGGGGACTGGACCCGGGGTCGGGAGGCGGAGCCGCTCCAGCTGCGTGTGGACAGCGCTCGGACCCGAGGTTCGGGGTCAGACGCCCCAACCCCACTTGGCACTGCTCTCCAGTCTGTTTCCTCTTCGTGCGTCTCCTGCTCGGCAGAGCCTCTCGCGCTGCGCCCCACCCCCATCTCGCGCAAAGCAGGTCCCCCAGACTCTCCCGGGACTACTCTGGGTTCGACTGTGACCCTCGGAGTCGGCTGCGAGCCCTGGAGGGTGGGTGAGCTCCGAGGGTGTGTTCACGTTTAAACTGCTTGGAGAAATGAGCTCGGTCTAGCTTGTAGAGTTAATGTCACTTGGGAAGAGACCAAGAGATGGAACTTTTGCTTCAGATTATCATGATTTGACATTTGGACATTCATTTTAGTAGGTCCACAGAACTCAATTTCGTGATGGAATAAAGGGGGAGGGGATTGCTCATTTTTCTTGGGCCGTTTTGTTGTAGTAGTAAGAACACTTCTTTTTTGGAAACGAAGTGCTACATTTCTATAGCCAGTCTTTTATCTACGTTTTTACTGGATTCGTAATGTCTTAAATCCGGGCATATAATCCCTGATCTGCTTCACTGACAGGATTATCGTAGGAATTAAATGTGTGAAACCGCTTTTGAATTATGAAACTTCTCTTGATTATGTAAGGTATTTATATCGGAGATGCCCAAACATAGTGGAAACAAATCGCCAACACTCTAGTTTCTGTCTGGAAACAACTTCTTGATTTATTTTGGCCCTTGTATTAAATTATTGTTTGCATGGCTATATTTTCTTTATCAGCCGTGGAGTCAGATGGAGAATGGGGAGTTTTGCTAAATCGTTGCCTTGAGAGTTGTTCCGAGGTGATGATGGAAAGTCAGGACCGCTGACCTTCAGAAAACTAATTAAATTTTTTTCTTATCCCCAGTTTATTCTTTTTCAATTCAGACAATTTGCCCCATTGCAGGAATTTTGAAGCTCTAAATACTGACACTTTATTGAATAGGAAGCTACCACATCTTTTCTGGTTGAGACTGTTTTTGCTGTGGTGTTCTGGGTGGTTAACATTTACCAATATTTAAGGTGAAGTAGATTATACGTCTGGGGTTTTAGTAATCCATGATTCTGTGTGTCTGCAAATACAAATCATGTATATTTTTATTGTTACTATAAACATACTGTATTTTTAATGTTAATGTATGTATTGATTATTACATATCTGTATGTGGAATATCTTTATGGTTTTTAACTGTGGCTTTATCAGTTTATGGCCAGTCCCTCACTTAAGCATGTGAATGCTTTCAAAAGTTTGTTTATCGAGCCCCTGTAACGCCACGCTCCATGCTTGTGGAGGGGGAAAGGGTGACCAAATGTGCTAAGTCTATCTGAGGGATGTTGGGGAAGGTTTTATTGAGAAAGTGATATTTGAACTGGTCTGTATTGGTGAATGTCCAAGTAAATGGATAGGAATGCATTCTAAGGAGAGGAAAGAGTTTTTGCTGATAGTGGTAGAGGGGGGAAGCCACATGACTTGTTAGGAAATGATGAGCATGTCTCCAGGCAGTCTGCGTTAAAGGGAAGCAGGGAAAAACTAAGGTACCAGTTGGGGAGAGCCTTCTATGCAGTGCTGAGAGGTTTGGACTTTACCCTGTAGGAAGTTCTTTGGGCAAGGAGGTTTTTAGGTAGGATTGTGACAAACAGATTTGGGATTAGGATAACTGGCTACACAGTGGAGGGCAGAAGATAGGAGGGAGAGACTGGAGGCTGAGAGAGACCAGTTAAGAGGCTTTTGAAATAGTGTGCAGTGAGTCAACCCATGTTCCCTAGGGGAATGTTCTTCCAAAATCAGCTGACTCAATTTTTGCAATCCAGGATGTTTAAAACATTCTCTGAAACATTTCCCGTTAATGAAAGAGGAATTTGAGGTCTCTAAGTGCCACCCACACATCAGTTACACTAGGAGTTAAGCAGGTTTTGGTAGGATTTTTACTGCCATTTATAACAATGTGTCAGTGAGGAAATGCAGTATAAATTCCAAACAGCTGACACTAACATTAAACTTTTTTTTCCTAAACTGTTGCTGACAAAAGTAACTATGTATCATTGTGAAAAATAACAGGGGGAATCAGGTGTGAAGCCTCTTCTGATTTTCTCTATTAAGGTAGTAATCATGATTCATAGACGTAGAATTTTTTTTTTTAAAGACTACCATTCTAAAGAAAATGAGTTTTTAAGCTTACTCATGGTGAATCACTATAAAGTGAACTATGTAGTAAGAACTTAGGTCAATGCTAATTTTAAGTGCCAGCAAATTGTTTGGATTTGATATGATTCTGATTGTGCTGTAGAGGAGAATGTAATCTTTAAATTTAAAGATAGTCTGGTTTTCACATTTTGAAGAAAAAAATAGGAACACGTAATTAAAATTTGTACAAAACAAGTGACTGAGTTTTAAGACAGTTTTCAAAAAGCACTTTAAATTTTACCTTACCCAAGTTGAGATTATATTTGTTTTTTTGTGAAAAATCCTTGTTTACTATAGAATCCTCCAAAAGATGCAAGCTCTAAGTAACTGGAAGCGTTTTCTTGGAATAGCCACAAGCTCAGATATGTGGCATAGGTAGCCTCATGATATTTCTTTTTCCCTTTTGATACCTAGTATATTTCAGTCTTGGAGTTATGCCATCTTTAGAGTCAGGGCTGTGGGACTGCCTCAGAAGTAAATCTGGTCCTCTTGGGATCTCAGTAACTAAGCTTCACTACCTTTGAATGAGTCCAACATAGACTGAACTAAAGTCAAATTGCACTTTGAATTGTATAATCTTGTTTGTATACTGAGAAATTATTGGGGGCCGGCCCCGTGGCCCAGTGGTTAAGTTCGTGCGCTCCACTTTGTCAGCCCGGGGTTTTACTGGTTCGGATCCTGGGCCTGGACATGGCACTGCTCATCAGGCCACGCTGAGACGGCGTCCCACATGCCACAACTAGAAGGGCCCACAACTAAAATACACAACTAGGTAGTGGTACTGCGGGTATTTGGGGAGAAAAAGCAGAAGAAAAAAAAGAAGATTGGCAACAGTTGTTAGCTCAGGTGCCAATCTTTAAAAAAAAAGAAATTATTGTAGTTTGTTTTTCATTTTGTGACTGTTACTTTAGTCAAATCATTTCTCCAAAGTGATTGTGTGTAGGATACCGCTTGAATCACGTCTTTTAAGAATGATTTAGGGAACCTGAGAACTTCACTTAATTTGGTCAGTTTTAAAATATGCAGTTGTTTTTGTATTTCTGTATGTTTACCTTAACATAAGAATTGGAGTATTTCAGCTTATAGTACGTAAAAATGATGCCACTGATGCCGGCTCAGCACAAGGTTGACAGAAGGGAAGCCACATTGTAGAAAAGAAACCGTGTTGTAACTTTGAATGACTTCTGACTAACTCACCTGACGGGATCTGCACCCTCCAGCAGATCCACTTGCTCTGGAGATTTTGTGATCCTTGCTTGTGCACATACCTCCCAGCGGTGATATGATGATAACTTCATTCTTTTGAGTTCCTTAGGAATGTGATGACTTCCCGAACAGAGAGTCTGTGCTGATAGCCATCATCAATGACAACTGAAAGATCTGGTGTGGTGACTCCTGGGTCAACATTTCTAACCCCCTCCCTTGTAACCCACTGGCTTATATAACTGCCTCAAGATTCTGTGCCCCTCTTAAGATGGTTCTTTTGGACATTTGTTGGCCGTCTTCCCTCTTGCTAGCAAGCTGTAATAAAGTATCCCTTCTCTGCCACCATCTTGCCTCTTGACGATTGGCTTTTGTCTTGTGGCAAGCAGATCGTGCCCTTTGTGCGGTAACACCACCACCAAACGTTTGTTACGCTGTAGGACGAAACCCATTCCCAGAGATGGGAAATGCCTCTTTCTCTTTGACAAATTTTTCTTTTAATGAGATTTTTCATGTTTTAACTCATTTTAGGAGGATTTTTTTCTCCCCTTCCCTTTGGTAGCTCCTTAGACCCCTTTTGCAAGTGGACCCCTGGAGACCATGCTCCAGATTAGCTTCATTGACACATTAGAATCCTGTTGTGCATAGAAGCTCCAATTCCGGCTGCTTGAAAGGAGTGGTAAGCAGTCTGTGGCATAGCAATACAATGAAATACAGTGTTGCCCTTAAAATGACAATTGTGTGGACCATGTAGATTTGTGGAAGTAGATATAAAAGATGCTAATCATAAAAAATAAAGCTTACTTTAGGTTGTACATGATAATTACAATGATGAGATCTATGTATGTA